TAGAAGGTGGTCCCAGCTGCACCTTCCCAGCTGCACCTCCCTGGCGGGGGTGTGAGGACCCCTCCTGATCCCTTCCCAGGACCGGGTTACTGGAAGCCTGACCCTGGAGCCGTCTGTAAACACTGCCAGGCTTTGGGGCCTGCCTGGGGGGGCCACCAGCTCAGTCTCTGAGTAAAAGGAGAAGACTGGGGAGGGCAAGCTCAGCAAGGTGGAGGCACCAAGGCCCCCTGACACCTGGCTGGATGCGGACAGTCCCCCGGGGCGGGTTCAGCTCCCCACGCGAAGGCGTACAAGGGGCTCAGCCAAGCAGCTGGGGACCTGTCTCACTCTGCCACTGTGTCTCCCTGTGATGCTTCTAGTTAACTATGGTTTTCTTGTGGCTAAAATAGACCCGCACGCAGCCCCCACGAGTGGCATTGCCATGGTGACCGCGGGTTCCGCATGCTGCCTCCTCAGATGCGTGTCAGGCTTGTTTTGGGTTTTAAATATAATCCCAGGCAGCTGAGGGGATTGAAAGCGGGACAGACTCCATTTTCCAGGACGGGAAGTGCGTCTCCTTCATGGTGCCCTGGCCCTGCTTGTCTTGGGCGCCAAGGAGAGGGGCTCCACTCTGGACACATCAGGCAGGAAGAGAGAGGTACAGGGCGTCCCCACCCGCGCGGGCAAGCCCGGCCCTGCGCCTTGCACTCCTGCGACCCTGGACAAAGCGCTTGGCCACCCAGACCCTCAGTGTCCTCATTCAGAAAATGGGCCTATGAAACCCACAGCCTAGGGACCCTCCCAGGGGCAGGGTGTGCACCCTGTGGGTGCCGGCGCCTCACCGTCCCCGCTTGTGCCAAGGGGCAAGACCACTGCGGGGCTCGTGAGAGTCGGTGGAGCCCCGGAAGCCGCTGGCACAGCAGCCAAACGTTCCCGGCAGCTGGGGCCCCTGCGGCGGGTCCCAACCCTGCAGCCGGGGCCCAGCGACGCCCCCTCCCTGCTGGGCGGCCTCTGCCAGACGTGGGCTCCGCCGGGCCCCGCTCCGGGGCGCGCGCACGCGAACACCCACGGCGCACAACGGCGCGCGTGCAGCACGCACAGGGGCCCCGCGGGGAGCGCACAGACACGCGCACGCGTACAAGGAGACCGTGTGCGCTGGGGTCCGGCCGGTGGTTTCCAGCAGAGGCCAGTTAACATAACGGGCGATTAAGCTTGGACAGTGACTGCAGGCAGGAGGCTGGCGGGTACCCGGGGCTGAGGGGCCGCCTCTCCAGGCTGGAATCGGGTCCCTCTCCCCGGCGGGGGCGTCCGGCCGCGGCCCTCGGGCGCCCTCTGCTGGGAGAGCGGGCGGACGGCGGCTCCCGGGGCCCCGCACCGGCTGCGCACAGGCTGGCCTCGCTGTGACCAATGACCCTGCCCAAATAAATGTCGCCCAGGGCGACAGACCCTCACCCTCGTCCTGAAGGAATGCCATCTATGCCCCCAGGTAGGAGATGGTGACTTTGGAGCAGAGAGGCAACAAATTGGCCACTGGCACACAGGTGCACACAGGTGCCTACAGACGCAGGCGGACAGAGCGTCTGTATGGACACACAAACACACGATGCAGACAAGGACGCTCGCACAATACACACAGACACACACACACACCCAGGCCCAGAAGCCCACAGGGATGAAGACATACCTCTCCCTCTCCCTGTGGGCAGGACCGTGAAAAGGGCAACCTTTTCTAGAAGCTCCCAGGGCCCTGTCGCTGGCTCCCCGCCCTCCTTGATGTGGCCCTCGAGGCCCCTCAGGGTCTGTTCCAGCAGCTTCTGCAGCTGCGCCTCAACACCTCCAGACCACCCTGCTCCCTGGGGCCACAGAGCCTTTGCACAGGCCACCTGACGTGCCTCTCCTGCCCTCCTGCTTCACTGCACACATGGTCATCCTGGTGCCAGGCTTTCTTCCAGGGATCTGCTCAAGCCTGCCCCTCTTCAGCAGACTGCCACGTCCGCGTGACCGATGACAGTGGCCCGTCTCCCCACTGGCATGCAGGTTCGCGGGAGCAGCCGCGTCTGGCTGAGTCCCCACTGTATCCAGGCACCCGGTGGGCCCTTGGCCAACATCCATTGCACAAATTAACGAGTGAGTGAAGTGAATGTTCTCTCTCGAGCCAGGTTTTCCAAACCCCATGATCCATGACAAAGGAAGGAAACACCTGCTGTCTGTCCCTCCCGCAGCCATGTGCCGAGCAAATGTCCTGGGCTTCCTGCCGCTCTGCAGGGGTGTCACTGACCATCAGCTCTGCCTGCTTCCACCCTTCCCCTGAAGCATGGTCCTCCCTGCCCAGGTCAGCCCCACAGCCTCCCACGGACCCCACGAGGTGCCTCTCGGGCAGTCCCGAGCCGGCACAAATGCAGTCCACGAGCTCTGATGAGGGAGATGTCCCCCGGGTGGGGTTCTGAAGTCAGGCCCCATGCGGAGGCGTAGTGGACCCCCACGGGGGTCTTTGCTGGAGTCCGAGGAGTCTCACTGACCATAGGCTCTGCCTGCTTCCACCCTTCCCAGAAGCATCCTGGAGCCGTTCGAGCGCGTCCTCACAGAGATGGGCATCGATTCCCATCTGAATTCCCTGCCTCCTTCTCTGCCTTTGAGAGAGACAATCAGAGCGCCGGGGCTGGGGTTATCAGAGGACCGCCTCCATCAGAGATGGCCTGCGCCCACCGAGACGCAACCTCGCCCTTCTCCACTGCTCGAGGTCATGTCCAGGCTGGGCTCGGACGGCTGCCCAGGGCCGACTGGGGTCTGACTCCGGGAGAGCTGCGTCCCACACACCTGTCTCCTGGGTGCTGCTCACGTGGCAGAATCCTGCTCGTCCCCATGCGCACATGCTGACTGGACAAACCCTGTACCTGTTCCTCTTCGTGTTGGACGCACAGCCGCAGAGCTCTGTGCCCGTGCTGGGGCTGTGGAGGAAACAGCCCATGGGGTGGGGGTGGGGCAGAGTAACACAGGCATCGGAGAGAGTAAGTGGAGACTCAAAGGAAGTGTGGGTGTGGGCGAAGGTGCTTCTGGGAGAGGGAACAGCAGATGCAAAGGCCCTGAGGCAAGGGGCAGTAAAGTGGCCAGGTATCTGGAGGGGATGAAGACAGACAAGAATGGGGTCCCAGGTCCTGTAGGGCCTACGGTCGTTTCCTGAGAACAGTGGGAATCACACGGGGTGTTTTGTACACCAGATAGATGGGCATGGACTGACTTATGTTTTAAGGAAATTGGAGGCTGCTGGAAAAATCCCCACACCGAGAATGTGGCTTGGACCAGGTGGCAGCAACGGAGGTGGTGGGATGTGGTGGGAATCTGGAAATGTGTCGAAGGTGGAGTTGCAGAGGGAGGGGTGTGGGTACTGAGGGGAAGGAGGGTTTTGAGCCGAGCACCCGGAAGGACGGGGCCAGCACTGGCTGACACGGGAAGAGCATGGCTGAGGCGAGTTTGTTAGAGATGAGAAGCTGGGCGGGGAGCGGGGGTTGCCTTTAAGAGTGAGATCAGGAGGGAGCAGCAGAGGGAGATGCAGGTGGAGAGCAGGGGTGGAGGCAGAGGGCAGCATCCCAGGGGAGCAGCCAGACCACTGCCAAGGGTCAAGTAAGAAAAAGCTGAGAATTGGGCATTGTATTTAAACCACAGGAGGTGGTGAGGACGTGTGTGTGTGTGTGTGTGTGTGTGTGTGTGTGTGTAGGGGGGTGGATGCTGAAGTGACCAGAGAGAAAGTGGAGCTGAGGGCTCCCGGCAGTGATGTCGTAAAGGGAAACGGACAGGCGTGAGGTGCCCCAACTTTTTGTCTGTAAGAAGGGAGGGCTCGCAGCATCTCAGGTCGGTGAGAGGTAGGCTTGCCACAGGTTAGGGTTAGCGCTGAGTCCGCGTCCAGCGAGAGTATGGGATCCACGACCATATAGACTGTCCACCTGGCACCCCGTGCCCGGTACCAAGGTGGTGCCAGCAAGTGCCTCAGGAAGGAGGCTGGGCCGGAGAAGCCCTAAGAGCCGGCGTGGGGAGTCCTGGCTTGGCGGGGAGTCCTCCCGGGCCAGGGTTGCCAGCAGGCGTGGTGTGCGGGGAAGGGGGGGAGGCAGCGGGAGTGACTCAGAGAGGAAGGGGTTTGGCAGGGGTGAGGGGACTGCAGACCTGAGTCTGGGGTGCCCGCCTGGCGCCCAGGCGAGGTCCTACAAACGGCAGATTTAGGCCCCGTGGACGCAGCCCCTGGGGGTGTGGGGAGCGCCGGGCGGAGGCTGTCCAGATGAACGCCACGGAGTTATTAGGAGAGCTTGCGGGTTCCGACATGAAGTTCATAGGCGACGCGGCCAAATGCAGTGTCCGTGTCCTGGGCCGAGGCGCGAGCTGGAACCGAGGGAATCGACCGCGAGTGTAGACAAGACCCCCGGCAATAGGGTCATGGATTCCGTAAGGGGAGGAGGGCAGCCGGCGCCGGGACCTTCCCCGGGACGCAGGCCGGGTTCTCTACTCCCGCCCCTCGAGTCTCCGGCGACCCCTTCCCACGGTCCTCCGGCCCCACGGCGTCGGACTCGCGCTCGCCCCCGAATTACCCGGGGTTTGTCCGCACGGACTGCGGGAGTTTCGATTCTGCGAGTCGGGGCGGCGGCACCCACGACAGCTTGCGTTTCCAACAGGTTCCCGGGGCGCTGCGGCGCAGGGGCCCCACCTGGGGAGCGCGGCCCCGGGAGCCCACTTCGCGAGGGGCCGGCTCTCGGGGCGCACCGGGCGCCGCCTCCCGTTGCCGGGCAGAGCCGGGCCGCGCGCGCTCCCATTGGCCGCAGGTGGGCCGCGCCCCGCCCGACAGGTAGTCCGCCCGCGCCGAGCCATTGGGTCGCGGCCGCCGGGACCCCCGGGGATTGGCCCAGGTGGCGGCCCCGCCTCGCCCTCATTGGCCGCAGGTGCCACCGCCCCCGCCCCGGGACCGCCCGTCCCGCCTATTGGCCGCCCGCCGGGCCTCGGGTCGGCCATGTTCGGACCCCACCTCCCCCCCCGTCCGGGGCCTGACGCCGGGACTCCGCGCGCGCCCCTCGCGCGCCCCCGCGGGCCGTCCCCCCGTCCCGCCCAACCCGCCCCGCAAGTTCCGCGGAGTTGGCCGGACCCGCGCCCCGGGAGCCCCGCGCCGCGCGCGCCTCTTCCGCGTTCCACCGCGGGCCCCACCTGGCGCCCCGGCCGGCCGCTGGGTCCCCGCGCCATGGCCCGAGCGCCCGGGGCGCGGCGCTGACGGCGGCCGGCGGAGCGCGCCATGCCCGGCAGGACCGGCCCCAAGATGGACGGGAGCGGCTGCCGCGTCCGCCTGAAGGCGCACTCCAGCGGGTGAGGGGGGACAGGGAGGGCCCTCGGGGCCCAGCGCCGGTCGGGGACGAGGCGGGCGCTCCAGGCGCCCTTGAATGTCGCTCGCGGGTGAGGGCGCGGGGTCCCCCGGGGCCGAGGCCAGGAGCGCCCGGGCCCCGGCGGCGGCGCGCGTCCGTCCCCGCCGCGGCGAGCCTCGCCTCCGCTCGGACTCGCCGGGAGGACTTGGCGGCGCGGGAGGCGGCCGTCGCCGCGAGCTCGCAGCCCGGGGCACAGCTCTGACCTAGTCCCTGCGCAGTTGGCTGGACGTCCAGGCCACCAACCTGGAAAGACTGAAGTTTTCGTCAAATTATGAAAACTCCTGGCAGAGCTGTAAAAATCAGGGCTTTCTAAACTTTTCCTAATTTACCCGGCCGGAGTTCTAAGAAAAGTTTAATGACCCAGGTCCTGGGCCCAGGACCCAGGTTAGGGGCAGTGAGCAGCCCGTGATTGCGCGAATTGAGGCGCGGCGGGGGTCCCCATAACTCTGCGGGAGCGGTTCTGCTGGGACCGGGGCTTTCGGACACCGATCCAGCCCTGCGTCCGCGCGCGGTGCCCTGGACTCGACCTGTTCGCTGTAAAACGGGGCGAGCGGGCCCCTTGCGGAGGGCGGAGGTCGGAGGTCGGAGCGCCCGGCCCCGCCCGGGGAGCGCCCCACACCCAGCAGCCGCGGGGCAGCGCTGCAGGGGGGGGGGGCGCGGTGCCCAGCGGCCAGACCCTGCCTCTGCCCCTGGCGCGCTGTAGACGAGGCTCGCAGGAGAGCTTCTTTACGTCCGTGTTGGTCTCGGGGGCCCTGAAATTGGACCTGGCTGCTCCGCGGGTCCGCAGCAGCCGGCGCTGGGAGGGGAGCGCATCCCTAGCCCGGTGGCATCTTGGCCGCAGTGGCTTGCCCCCGGGGCATCACCAGAGGTGCCCCTCGAGGTGCATAGTCCCAGCTCTGGAGGAGCTTGGGGCTCTTGACCTCGCCAGGGCACCTTGTTTGGGGATGTGGCGTCAGACCTCTCCTGCCCTTTCTGCCGTCCTCAGCTGGTTCTCCCGCAAGCAGGGTGTGTGTGGGACGCTTGGTGACAGGGCTTCAGGGAGGAGTGATTTCTGGGGATGGCCACCCCACCTGAGGAGGCCCAGGAGCCCTGTTTGTGGCCTGGAAGGGTGGTCTGCCTGTTAAAACCGATCCCCAGGCTCCTCCAATGGCCAGAACGTCCTGGCTTGCTGGGATGTCACAACCCAGACGTCCTCTTCCCAGCCAGGAATTGTGGGATTGAGCAACAAGCCACTTTGTGAAAAATCAGAGTGGATCCTCAGTGAAAGGAGGTCCATACCCCAGCAGCCCGGGTGGGTGGGGTCTGGACCCCCCAGCCTGCCCTCAGGTGGGGCACTGAGGGGAGGGATGCCGGCAAGCGAGGCGGGTCCTGGGCAGAGTTGGCTGGAGCTCCGGGGAGTTCTGGACTGAGCCAGTGCTGCCGCCACCCTGCCCCTGACTTTGGCCCCTGGAGAGCGCTTTGGTTACCGCCTGTAACGTGACCTGTTGAGTCTGCTTTCTCGGGCTGATGGGGCGCTCACTCGTTCCTGTTCCTTCCATTCCCTACCTCGGCTCCTTCCTCTCCCCCTTCCCTCCTCCTTTCCCTCTCTTCCTCCCCCTTCTCCCCCTCCCCTCCCCAGCCTTCCCCACCCTCTTCCCCTCTTCTTCCCTCTCCCACGCTCTTCTTTCTCTCCCTCTGTGGTGCTCCAGGCTGTGCACTGACAGTTCCTGCCAGCCCCAGCTCCTCACCCCCACCCGCCGCCCCTGCCCGGTGCGTCTCCCTGGGCTCTTGGGAGGCATAGTCCTCAGATTGTGGCAAGGATGCGGGTTCTAGAAAGCACCCACCAAGGTCAGCGCTCACTTATCCAAACCGCAAGGGTCCAAGTGGAGCTCTGTGTCCCATGGGACCGAGCTGCCGCCTGGCTGGCAGGGTGTTTGGGGGCGGAGGTCAGACACATTGAAGATGCCATTCTTAAAAACAGGGGCCCCCAGCTTGGCCGTGGAGGAGGTGCTGTCACTGGGGTCTCAGCGGGGGCCGAGTGGGAGAGGGGTGTCCTGAGTCATGAGGGGATTTCCAGGGGATGCGTATCCTCGTGAGACCCTGCTGTGCCAGGTCACAGGAGCCACTGTGCGGAGTGGTCCCTCCCTCCAGCTCTAGCCCGGGGCTGCTGTCCCCGCCCCCAGCGTTGGGGGAAGGTCTGATGAAGCCAGTGGGCTTGAGCTAAACACATGGGCCCACCGCCCCACCCCCTCTAAGTGACCTTTGATTGGCATCTGAACCTGGTGTCAGAGCAAGTGCTTGCCTGGCGCAGATACCCCTGCCTCCTCCCCTCTCCCCCTGCCTCCTCCCCTCTCCCCCTGCCTCCTCCCCTCTCCCCCTGCCTCCTCCCCTCTCCCCCTGCCTCCTCCCCTCTCCCCCTGCCTCCTCCCCTCTCCCCCTGCCTCCTCCCCTCTCCCCCTGCCTCCTCCCCTCTCCCCCTGCCTCCTCCCCTCTCCCCCTGCCTCCTCCCCTCTCCCCCTGCCTCCTCCCCTCTCCCCCTGCCTCCTCCCCTCTCCCCCTGCCTCCTCCCCTCTCCCCCTGCCTCCTCCTTTCTCCCCCTTTTAGGCCCGGCCCGGTGCAGGATAGAGCTTTCTGTGCAAGGGCATTCATGGTAGTAATTTAAAAAAATTGGTCAGTGGTTCTGTTGGGGTCCTGTAATATTTTGTTTGGGAAAATTTCCATGTAATCAACAACTCAGTTATTAACAAATCAGTAACTCAGTTATTAGCAAACCAATAGTATTTGATTTAAATGTGCTCCTTGGTGAAACATGTCCCTCCTCTGCCCCAGGGACATCCTGATCACCAGTCTAGACGCAGCGATGACCTTCGAGGAGCTCTGTGAGGAAGTGAGAGAGATGTGCAGTCTCCATCAGGGGCACCCACTCACCCTCAAGTGGGTGGACAATGAAGGTAGCCCTTGGTCTTGCGTCCGTCACCCTGTAAATCTCCACGTCTTTCGTGCGCGTGTGCCTACATGTGTGTGCGCGCGCGTGTGTCAGTTGTGTGTGTGTGCACGTGTGGGGGGGTTAGATCAGCCCTGCCTCACGGAGGTTTAAAACTATGAATTAAGCTGGTTAATAGCTCACTTCCGGGGGGGGTACTCTGGAAGTCATTTCCTGGAAGAGGCCGCCCTAAAGGGACGCTTGGGTTGGGGGCTGGACGGGAGGAGAGCCCCCAGGCAGGGGAGAGGGCTGTGGGGGTCTAGCTGCCCAGCCCTTGCCCTCCTTCCCCGTTCTTCCTCTCTCATGTTCTGGGCTTTCCAGTAGGTGACTTGGAAAGGTGAGCTCTTTTATGATTTTCATTTTCTCAGGGAAAGCAGGAGGGTGAGTAGCCAGGGCCCCCTAGTGACCACCCTCTCTCGTGCCCTCCCCACTCTGTCCTCTCCCACTGCCAGACACACATCTGAGAAGGCTGGCGGGGGGGGGGGGAGTAAGCCCTGGGGTGGGGGGGCGTGGGTCCTGTGCTTTCTATGTTCCTCTCCAGGATGGGGGTAGAGAGGCTTTGCTTTTGTCCAGGACTGACCCAAGAAGAATGTCCTTAATCTTTCCCAGGCCGGGAGAGTTAGCTCGGTTTCACCCTCCAGGTGGCCTTCTCGGGGCTCTGGGTGAAATCACTTCCCTTCAGGGGTCCACTGGTTCCGATGTGAGGCCCTGGTCGGAGTTGATTCCTGGTCTGGCTGGTCGTTCTTGGACTTCCCAGCTCTGTTGTGGGTCCCAAGCAGAGATCTTTCCAAACTCGAGTTGGACCCCTTGGCCATAGGCCTGCGGTGACCCCAGTGATGTCTCTTGCCCCGCCTAGGTGACCCCTGCACGGTGTCCTCCCAGATGGAGCTGGAGGAGGCCTTCCGCCTGGCCTGTCAGCACAGGGACGAAGGGCTCACCATTCACGGTCAGTGGCAGCTGGCGGGATGGGCGGCCCCACTGCTGTCCGGGGTGGTGGGAGCCCCGTGTCTTTCCCCGACAGCCTGGGGGACTAGCGCCACGTGGAAGGTTGTGGTTCACCGTGCCGGGATTCCAGAGAATTTAAGGATGTTGAATACAGTGCAGTTTGGGTTTGCTTTTTCTCTTACGTTTTATTACCCCAAATAAAAAAACTGCTGTAGCTGATGAAGAGTCAGGGGAGCTCCTTCTCACTGGACACGGGAGCCTGGCTTCTGGCTGCTGGTCCTCATCGTCCCCATTGCCTGGAGGTCACCATCCTTGCACACTCCAGAAGCCTGGGCTCACCCACCGGCCTCCACCTGTTCTCAATCCCCAGCGAGGAGGGTGGGTGGAGCCCGGGATGGTGCGGGGGGGGGGGGGGGGGCGGGAAGCGGGGGACGGGACCTTCCCTGTGCCTTTCTCGGGGCTCACAGCTTTCCTCAGCCTGGTAAGCTCAGAGCTGGGCTATAAGTGAGTCGTGGGAAATGCAAATTGTTGTCATTTCAGTATGGGTTCTGTACCTTAGGGGTTCCAGGCGGCCCCCCCAGCACTTCCGGGGTCTGCAGGGTGTCTGCGTGCCGTTCTGGCGGCTGTGGCCGGCCAGCCGAGTCTGCAGTCCCCGCTGTGCACGGTGGGCGGGCCGTGAGTGGTTTCTGTGGGACCGTCACTGTCCCCGGTACTGGGGTGGGGGGTGCTTACACCATCGTTTCTGAGGCTGTTTATGTAAACGTGGTTTGCAAATGAGACCCAGCCCGGCCTGCCTCGTGGCACTAAGCTCGCTGGTGTGGCCTCTCGACGCTGACGGCCGTGGTACTTTAAAAAGCCACTTCTGTTTTCTCGATTAAGGGAGGCGTTGTCGCCCCTCGGGTTTACTACTTTCTGAGCTTCTGTTTTAATAATCTATTATGGAGGCCCAGGGTGTATTTTAAGATATTTAATTTTGACTCCACTTGAGTATGAAGTGAGACCTAACGTGCTTTTCGAAGTCCACCTGCGAAGACGGTGCGTGTCCTCCTCCGTCCGCGCTGATTCTGGGCTCGGCCCCGGGAGGCCCCCTTGGGCGGCTGAGTCCCCTGACTGCTTCCCCCCCGGGTTTGTCAGTGGACTTTGAAGTCCTGTGAAAGGGGGTTTGACGTCGGTGTCCTTGGGCTCCCACGGCTGTGCCCCGTGAGCGTCTCCTAGCAGTGGGCTTGTGAGCAGCGTGGCCTTTGTGTGCAAAGCCTGACTGGAGCAAGACCTTCTGCGAGGCACACCGAGTGACAGACGCGCCCCCCTTCTCTCCCTCTGCGCAGTGTTCCCCAGTACCCCCGAGCAGCCAGGCATGCCGTGTCCCGGAGAAAACAGTGAGTACCTCTTCCTATGACTTGTGTTGTGTGTTCTGGCGTGAATTAGTGGCCCATCGCGTCGGGAAGGGGGAGAGGGGTGCCTTCTGTGGCCCGTGGCTTAGGAACATTTATTCTCGAGCAGCGACCGGGGGCAGAGTGCGTGGTTGATGCGGCCTCACGTGGGGCTTGCCCTTGCCCTCGGGGGTGGCTAGCGAGTGCTGGCCTCCCGGCCCTGGCTTGGCCGTTGGAGCCGAAGGAAAAGCCCAGGAAATGTCCTGATCTCCCTGAGCAGTGGGGGCTGGGGGGGGGGGGCGGCTGGACAGCTGGACGCGGCTCCCAGGCGCCTGCTCCAGCTCCAGCCACCCCACACCTGATCATTTGCCCTCTCCCCGTCCAAACTGGCCCCCAGGGGGGAGGGGGGCGTGTGCTTTCCATCTCCGCGTGTGGCTGTTGTACGAGTTGGAGCCCCAGGAGCAGTGGGGCCAGAGGAGAGCTTCTGACCTTGTCCTGGGGGCCAGTGGCCCCCAAGCAGGTCAGAGCAGTTCTGTCCCCCCCTGTCCTCAAGGGCATAGCACCACGGGGGGCATAAGCTGCTCACCAGCTGCCCAGACCCCTCACCTCCCCCCACCCGGCGCCCCTTCCTCTGTGTGGTGAGCACCGACCTCTGGGCTAAGGTGCCTGCGTGTTCGCCCGGCTCAGCCCTGGTCCGGCAGGGGACCCGGGCGCAGGCTCTGGGGCAGCCTCTTGTCAGGCCCCTCGGCCTGTGCTGAGTTCCTGCAGCCTCACTAGACCCGGTGGAGAGGTCGGGGGGCCATTGTGTCTGTGAGCCTTGGGTTTAAAGTGGGGGGGCTGAAGACAGACTTGGGGGCCCTTAGCTTAGAGGAGAGAGTGGCTGGTGTTTGGGGAGTGGCCTTGGGGCTTCCAGAGAGAACAGGGGACCCCGGGGAGCAGCCCGGTGGGAGTGGAGCAGGGTGGTCTGCTGGGGCCCTGGCGGGTGGACGGGTGCTGGACGGGAGGCGCGGTTTCGGGGGGAGCGGAAGGAGACACGGGGGCACATTCCTTCACTCAGCTGTGCCTGTGCCTGTGTGTCGGGCGCTGCGGAGGCTGGGCGTGGGCAGCGGGAGCCCCAGGACGTCCCAGCGGGGAGGTAGGTGACAGGCCAGATAAACACCTAAATGCTCGGAGGGGGTGCGGGGGGGTGGGCAGGCTGGGTGAGCCTGCAGGCTGAGAGTCGGAGGCCCGGAAGCTGCCCTGAGGAGGGGGTGGGAGGGGAGCTGGCCAGTGGGCCACAGAGAGCCCGGGGACAGGGTGGTGGACGCGGGTGCCCTTGTGTGGCTTTGCTGTGGCTTTGCTGAGCGTGAGACTTGGGAGCTGCCCGGAGGTTTATGAGGTGGGACAGGCAGTGGGTGCCCGGACACCCAGGGTAGGCTGGGGGGGGGGCGGGGGACAGACCCACCCTGAAGAACCCCCCCTCCCCCCGGCAGCCAGAGAGGAGCCTGTCGATGGGAGCTGACCTGGCCTTGTGTGGGCTCAGCCTCTGGAGTGCAGGGGGGTGCGGAGATTCTGCCCTCAGTGCAGGTGGACGTGGGAGTGGCCGGGCAGTGGCTACATGGCTTTGCAGGAATGCAGAGAATGTGGCGAGCTTCTAGAAAGCACTGTCCTTGAGATGCTTACCCGAGGCGGCGCTAGAGCTTCAATGACCACTCAGCACGCTGAGCGTCCACCCGCCGCTGGAGGCGGCAAGACCCAGGCAGGGGCCGAGGCCAGCTGACAGGTGCCGCCTCGCCTTGCTGGCCAGGGGTGTGTGTGCAGAATGCCTTCCTCACGTGGGCTTCCCTGGGCTCTGGGCTCGTTGAGTGTTGGCGTTCTCCCCAACTTTTTACTCTTTTGGCTTGACTTTAATGCTAATCTTGGACAGTCAGGACAACCCCCTTCTGGTGACCGATGGCTGCGGTGGACAGGGTGCCTGTGTGGGCATCCGTGTCCAGTGTTCCTGGCCTTGAGCACCATGCCTGATGCCTGGGGAGCGAGAAGGGTCCGACAGGTGCCATGTGGGTGGCGTCCCCGAGCTGTGTCAGGACCACATGAGGAGGGCCGATGGACTGACGGACAGCGGCCAGGACAGAGGGGCAGCAGAAACGCAGTCCCGTGGCGGCACCCGGGCACGTCCAGCTGGAAGGGCCACTTGCACCATCTGGCCTGTGTCCACTTTCACCAAAACACCATCCAGCAATTCTGTTCAGGTTGTTAATCTGCATTATTGTTTTTATAAAGTTTCACAAAATTGTGTAAAGCACACATCGCATAGAATGCATTGCTCTGGCCACTGTGAGGCGAATGAATGACTGTGGCAGTTAGGACACATTGTTGTGCAACCGCCTCCCCTGCTTCTGACCCACATTCGGGAGGAAGACGTCAGCGTCACGGCTGTCGGCTGCCGCTCCCCATTCCCTCCCCCGCCCAGCCCCCCATGCCCGCTGCTGGTAGCTCCAGCTCTGGATTTACCCGCTTTGGACGTTTCCTGTGAATGGAATCATGGCGGGCGCTACTCTGTAACTGGCTTCCTTCACTCATCCTGATGTTTTCCACCTTCATCCCTGTCCGCGCATTCTTTCTTTCCCCCGCGCTGCACTGTGGTAACTTACATACAGCGTAAGACTTGCTGTCTTGACCATTTTTTTAAGTTTATTGATTTATTTTGAAAGAGAGCGCATGGGTGTGAGCGAGGGAGGGGCAGGGGGAGAGAGAATCCCAAGCAGGCTCCATGCTGACAGCACAGATCCCGACGTGGGGCTCTATTCTGACAGTGCAGAACCTGCTTGGGATTCTCTCTCTCTCCTCTCTACACCCCTCCCCTGCTTGTGCGCGCTCTCTCTCTCTCTCTCTCTTTTTTTTTTTTTTACATGTTTATTTATTTCTGAGAGAAAGAGACAGCATGAGCAGGGGAGGGGCAGAGAGAGAGAGGGAGACACAGAATCTGAAGCAGCTCCAGGTTCTGAGCCAGCTGTCGGCACAGAGCCCGACGCGGGGCTCACACCCACAAACCGTGAGATCATGACCTGAGCTAAAGTCAGACGCTTAACGAACTGAGCCACCCAGGTGCCCCACTCTTTCTCTCTTTCAAAATATATACATAAACATTAAAAAAAAGATGGAAGCCCTGTCCCCACCATCACTTCCCCCAGCCCCCAGTGGCCACCCTGCTACTTCCTGTGCTATGATTTTGACTAAATACCTCATCTAAGTGGACCCCAACAGGACTTGTCTGTTTGGGACTGGATTACTCACCTGGCATAGTGTCTTCACGGCTCATCCAGGTAGCACGTGACACGTAGCCTATGGCAGGATTCCCTTCTGTTTCTGAGGCTGAGTAATACTCCGTCGGATCTAGGGACCACGTTTGGTTTGTCCATTCAGCCACCGACGGACGCCTGGGATGCTTCCTAGCTTCAGTTCTTGTGAACCAGTGCTGCTGCGAACATTTGTGTACGCATATCTCTGAGACCTTGCTTTGGGTTTGGGGGAGGGGATGCTCAGAAGTGGTGCTGCTGGATCATCCAGTGTTTCGGTGTTTAACTTCTGAGGAATGGCCACCCTGTTCCCCACAGTGGCCACACGATGTGCGTTCCCAGCAGCTGAGCACAGGGCCCACCCTCCCCACGTCCTCTCCAGCACTTAGCATTTTCCAATTCTTTTTTTTTTTTTTTTTAATTTTAGAGAGTGAGCAAGTGGTGGGGGGGTGGTCAGAGAAAGAGAATCTTAAGTAGGCTCCACGCTCAGCACAGAGCCCCACACGGGGCTCGATCCCACGACCCTGGGATCATAACCTGAGCTGAACTCAAGAGTCAGATGCTTAACCGACCGGGCCTCCACTTTTTGAAGCATCCCTGTGGGTGTGAGACGGCCCCTCATTGTAGGGCCAATCCGCATTTCCCTGAGGAGGAGTGACTTTGAGCATCTTTTCATGTGCCTCTTGGCCACGCGTGTGTGTTCTTTGGAGAAGGTCTGTACGTGTCCTTTGTCCATTTTTCAGTGGGGCTGTTAGTGTTTTTGTTGCTGGGTTTTAAGAGTTCTCTTTACATTCTTGGTTTTAATCTTTTATCAGCTGTAGGATTTGCACATATTTTCTCCCATTCTGTGGGTTGTCTTTCTGCTCCGGATCGTGTCTCTTGATGCGCAAAACTCTTAACTTTTGGTGAAGTCCAGTTTGTCCATTTTTATTGTTTTTGCCTCTGCCTTTGGTATCCCATCCAAGAAACTATCATCTACAGTGTGGTCAAGTTTTATCCTACATTTTCTTCTAAGAGTTTTATAATTTCAGGCCTTACATTGAGGTCTTTGATGCATTTGGGGTGGCTTATCGTCTATGGTGTGAGGTAGGGCTCCAGCTGCACTCTTCAGCATGCGGACGCCCGGTGTTCCCAGCACCGTTGGTTGAAAAGACCGACGTCTCCGTGTTGAATGGCCTTCTTGCCCTTCTCAGGCGTCACCTGACCGGCCTGGGTGTCTGCTCTCATGGACTTGTATGCCTGTTTTTATGCCTCTGTCACACTGTTTTGGTTACTGTAGTAACTTTTGAAATCAGGGAGTGTGAGGCCTCCAGCTTTGTTTCTTTTCAAGATGGTTTGGCTGTTCTGGGTCCCCGGAGATGATTTTCAGGTTGGCTATTTCTGTTTCTGCAAAACCTGTCTCAGGGACCTTGCTAGGTCACGGTTGGTTTGGGGGCATTAATGCGACAACAGGGTGACGCCTTCCAGCCCTTACACGCGGGTGTCTTGCTTTTACTGCCTTTACTTTCGGCGCCGTGCCGCAGTTTTCGGTGCGCAAGTCTTTCACCTCCTTGGTAGGTTAGTAAGTACTCTATCCTTCATGCTGATGTAAGACGGGACTGTTTTCTGGTTTGGGTTGTTTGTGAATAAAAAATGCGTCTGTTTTGAGTGTTGGCTTCGCATCCTTTCTTGCTGAATTTGTGCATCAGTTCTGACAACTGTTTGTGGAATCGTTAGGGTTTTCTGTAT